GGGTTTAACTTTGCCTTTTGGGCAGTGGGGCCACCACTCAGCCTTGACCTCTGAGGGGGTCCATTTGGCGAACCCCAGATCTGTAGCCACCGCCATGTAGGTGCGGACTGCGGTTGCGGCCCACCTGGAGGAGAAGGCCGGGGGCATATAAGGAGAGGTGCCTGCTACTGTCACAGAGCGGGAGTGGCTGGGGGGTGGGGGTGGGGGGCGAGACGCTCCCCATCCGCTGTTACCCGGAGCCGTGGCCATTTTGCGTCTGTGGCTGGAGTTCAGCTGCCGAGCGCCGGTTCCCTTCAGGCGTCACCTTCACCTTTCCGGGGCCTCCCTCGGCCTCCTGCCCTCTTCCATCCTGGAGGTGCTGTTCTCTGCTCAGTGTTCCCATCCTTCCTTACCCCTGTCATAAATTAATTCACACCAAGGTATTACTTTCCTTGTCAGGTTATGGCTTCCAGGGAGGCAAATGGCTTACTTCTGAGCTGTTTCTTTTTCTCTCTGAGAAGCCTGACAGGGCTGTCATTAGGCTTCCCTGAGCCTGTGGCAAGACTGCATTCTTAGTTCTCTCCGCTCCTTCCCCGGCCCTGTGAAGGGAGCAAACATCTGTGTGGTTTTCAGGCCAGGGTAGATTAGTGTTCTTGGAACTGGGGCCCAGCTGTGAGGGCTGAGCATTCCCAATCTGTACGCGGGTCTTGTCTCCATTCACAAGCCCGTGAGGGTGTTTGGAAAGTTATTTGCAGTTCGGTGCTGATTTCCCATTTGCCCCCAAGCTGTTCTGTGGAACAAAGAACAGCCTCGTGGGAGCTGTGTTCCTGTGGGCATCCCTGGGGGTCTGTGGGAAGAGCTGGGTCCTCTGGTCCTGTCTTCCCAATTTCTCCTCCCTGTCCTCCACCCTCGCCCACCGCCTCAGGCCCTCCACCAATTCCCTAGGCATTCGGATGTACGGACCCTTCACTCCTGTGGGGCCAGAGGGGGACTTCCGGGTGCACCAACCCAGGCTGCTTGCTCCCCTGCAGCTGCTCTCCACAGCTGGTCGTGCCCGGCCCAGAGTGACGTTAGGGCACGCATTGGTCATGGTGGGCTGCTGAGATTTCCGTTGGGTTCCTGGGAGAAGACAAGTCCCTTTTGTTAGAGCTTCCCAGGGTGGTGCCTGTGCCAGCGAGGATCAAGGCTCGTCCGGCCTTCCCTCACCCCACCAGCAATCCCAGCTTTGCCCAAGTGGGAATGTGCCCAGCCCAGCCCGTTCTGCCAGAAAACATTGCAGTCACCATTGCCTAACAGGCAGTCGGTGCTCAAAAAGAAAAGAAAATGAGGTCCAGGCATTGCTCTCCAGTCCTACTTTTAAATCTGCGAACTTGAGGGTTGTGAGCAAGCTGACTGGGGCAGCGGGGGGGCAGGTGGTCACTGGGCGGCGGCCTTATCTGCAGCAGGGATGGTGGAGGCCAGAGTCCATGGCTGCTCCTTTATTGTAGCCACTAGGGGTTTTTATTTTTGTTTTAGTATTATTTATTCATTTAGAAGATCATACGTATTTTAGTATAAGCATGTTGCCAGAATGTAAAAATAGAGAAAATTTTAAAATGGCTTAAAATCATAATCTTTCTATTCTAACAGGCATTGTTTACATTTTGGTATTTTTTGACATTTTAGTGTCATGTTTTCCTATGCTCGGGGTATTGCTTTTTTCATTATTTTAAAACACTTTTTTATTTTTTTAATAATTTTTTATTGTTATGTTAATCACCATACATTACATCATTAGTTCTTGATGTAGTGTTCCATGATTCATTGTTTGTGCATAACACCCAGTGCTCCACGCAGAACGTGCCCTCTTTAATACCCATCACCAGGCTAACCCACCCCCCCACCCCGCTCCCCTCTAGAACCCTCAGTTTGTTTTTCAGAGTCCATTGTCTCTCATGGTTCGTCTCCCCCTCCAACTTACTCCCCTTCATTCTTCCCCTCCTGCTATCTTCTTCTTTTTTTTTTCTTAACATACATTGCATTATTTGTTTCAGAAGTACAGATCTGTGACTCATCAGTCTTGTACAATTCACAGCGCTCACCATAGCACATACCCTCCCCAATGTCTATCACCCAGCCACCCCATCCCTCCCACCCCCCACCACTCCAGCAACCCTCAGTTTGTTTCCTGAGATTAAGAATTCCTCATATCAGTGAGGTCATATGATACATGTCTTTCTCTGATTGACTTATTTCACTCAGCATAACACCCTCCAGTTCCATCCACATCGTTGCAAATGGCAAGATCTCATTCCTTTTGATGGCTGCATAATATTCCATTGTGTATCTATACCACATCTTCTTTATCCATTCATCTGTCGATGGACATCTTGGCTCTTTCCACAGTTTGGCTATTGTGGACATTGCTGCTATAAACATTGGGGTGCACATACCCCTTCGGATCCCTACATTTGTGTCTTTGGGGTAAATACCCAGTAGTGCAATTGCTGGATCGTATGGTAGCTCTATTTTCAACTGTTTGAGGAAACTCCATATTGTTTTCCAGAGTGGTTGCACCAGCTTGCATTCCCACCAACAGTGTAGGAGGGTTCCCCTTTCTCCGCATTTTAAAACACGTTCTAACTGCAAGAGTAGTATGATGGACTTTTATCTGTTGTTAACATTTTACACATTTGCTTTTGCTTGGTCTCTCTGTATACACACACACACACACACGCACACACGCACACACACGGATAAGCATACCGTTGACCCTTGAACAATATGGGTTTAAACTGTGTGGGTATACATGGATTTTTTTTTTAATATAAATATAGTACAATACTGTAAATGTATTTTCTCTTCCTTATGATTTCTATTTTTAAAAAGGTTTTATTTCTTTATTTTGAGAGAGAGAGGGCACAAGTGGAGGCAGAGGGGGAGGGAGAGAGAGAATCTCAAGCAGACTCCGCACTGAATGTGGAGCCCAACACGGGGCTTGGTCTCATGACCCTGAGGTCATGACCTGAGCCAAAATCAAGAGTCGGACGCTTTTTTTTTTTAACTTATTTATTTGACAGAGAGAGACACAGCGAGAGAGGGAACACAGCAGGGGTAGTGGGAGAAGGAAAAGCAGGCTTCCCACCAAGCAGGGAGCCCAATGCGGGGCTCGATCCCAGGACCCTGGGATCATGACCTGAGCCGAAGGCAGATGCTTAACAGATGAGCCACCCAGGCGCCCCCCCAAGAGTCGGACACTTAATGGACTTGGCTACCCAGGAACCCCTCCTTATGATTTTCTTTTCTTTCTTTCTTTTTTTTTTTAAGATTTTATTTATTTATTTGACACGGAGAGAGAGGGAGAAAGCAAGCACAAGCAGGGAGAGAGGCAGAGGGAGGGGAGAAGCAGGCTCCCCGCAGAGCAAGGAGCCTGATGTGGGACTTGATACCAGGACGCTGGGATCATGACCTGAGCCGAAGGCAGGGGCTAAACTGACTGAGCCACCCGGGCACCCTCCTTATGATTTTCTTAATAACATTTTCTTTTCTCTAGCTTGTTTTATTGTAAGAATACAGTGTATAATACATATAACAGACAAAATAATATGTTAATCATCTGTTTATGTAAGGTTTCTGGTTAACAGTAGGCTATTAGTAGTTACGTTTTTGGGGAGTCAAAAGTTATGTGTGGATTTTCAACTGTGTGGGGGTCAGTGCCCCTAATCCTCTCATTGTTCAAGGATCAACTGTATATTCCTGTAGATATGTATATCTATGTGTGTGCATATATATATATATGTCTATCATGCATATTATAAATAATATATGTGTTTATTATTCTTATTAGCCTTAGGGTTTTGATAGCTAGCCAGCCTTAAGGAACCCAAGGCTAGGAATAGGGTATCTGGGTTCTTACCTCACCTCTGCCCCTTATTGACTTTGCCACTGAGTCCCTTCACCTCTCCAATCTGCTTTATCTCTAAAACATGAATAGTTAATTCCTACCCTGTCATTTGGTCATCTGACTGGATCAACTGAGATAATGAGTATAGGGATGCCTCGTAAACTAAAAGGATGCTCTGGCCTGAAGCAAGGCATCACTAAGACTGACTGGGTTGCAGAGCTCAAACCGGGGTGACTTTGCGGGGAGGTCTTCAGCCTTCACAGCTCAGTGGCCCAGGCACTTCCCATGCTGCAAGTCAGCACAGAATCCTGGGGTGTCTCTGTCCAATGTAAGGGTATGAGCTTGGGGTGAAGGGCACCTGCCCACCTCACTGAGTCCCAAGCTGGGAAAAGTGTCCCAGAACGATGCAGGAGGGCAATCCAATCCAACTACATGCCCTCCCTGTGGTCAGTGGGAAGGAGCACGTAGGGACTGAGTACCAACTCCAAATGACACCTGCGGACATTGCTTTTGGCTCACCTATACTTGTGTTTCAGAGGCAGTTAAGAAGGTGAGTAAAAGACCATTGGCACATTAATCCCATAATTATTTGGCCCTGCTTAGTCCACAGCTGGTTTTCCAGATGGCCTGGACGTCACTTGTTAGGCTATTTCCTGTGGGTAGAGTGGCTGTTGTGGGTCGGGGGAGCCCTCTGCTCCTCCAGGAGTACATGGTTCAGCTTGGGCCTTGACTCAGCAGTGTCCCTAGAGGACCAGTAGATCATGAGCACTTTTCTAAAACACTTTCATATCCATTACATTTATCCTATGATATGGGCAAGGCAGGTTCTCACTGTCCCAGTGTTCATGCTGATGAAACTGAGGCCAAGGCCTCACAGCAAGTTGGCGGCAGACTTGGAACACAGCTCTTCGGACTCCTCGCCCTGTGCTCGCTTGGGAAATGGCGGCACGAATGCTGGCTTGCCAAGCAGAGTCACCTAGCTACTGGCGTCTCCTCCCGTTGTGCAGCTCACACTCATGGTGGCTTGTTTTCCTGTGTCAGTGCTGTCTTTGTGCCTAGCCAGCTGAGGCAGGGCTCAGGGGAGGCGGGCCTGGCCCAGTCCTCCCCTTCCCTTCCAGTGTGTGCTCTTGTCTCCTAGGTGCTGCTGGATGAGGAGAGAGAAGCCATGGCAAAGTCCCGCCGGCTGGAGCGCAGCACCAGTAGCTTCAGCTACTCCTCTTACCACACCCTGGAGGAGGTAGGTCTGTCGGCCCAGTCAAGCTCTGGGCTCTGTTGTCCCTTTGGGCTCCTGGGGTCTCCAGACTCGGGCAGAAACTGATGAAAGACTGAGGTCTGAGAGAGAGTGTGAGCCGACACTGGGGAATGCAGAGCAGACACTGGAAGAAAGACTCTCAGCTTCCAAGAAGTCCAGAAGCGAGGATTCAGAGAGAACTGTGGCTCAACAGTGCCGCCCGGGGTAGGTGTGGGACAGAGTAATGGGCCTGCTAGGCAGGATGCTGAGGTAGGGACGCGTCACTTGCAGGGGGTGTCGTCTCCTTAGCCAACACTGAGGCTGGGGATTCAGGGGTCTCGACCTCTTCACAAGCATTTCTGGTGTCAAGGGGCCCGAGCTGTGGGTGCTAGGGTGTAGCAGGGGCAGGAAGCCAGGCACCTTGGAGAGCCACTTGGTAGAGTAGAACAGAGTTGCCTCGGTTGGAGAAAATGCTTGATCACAGTGACAGCCAGCTAGGGCAGGTGTGACCAACTGTGACCGGTTTATAAAGGAGAACATAGAGATGCCCAGTCCAGAAAGAAACTCAAGGCTCAGGTCCCATTTTCATGTAAAGGACATAGTGATACTGGTATTGCCCACTCTCTGACCGTTACTCCCTGTTTCACATGGCCTGTAATAGAAAAAATACATTTTTCCCCATGTATTTGGTAATTCAGTTATATACATACATTCCTCTATATATACATTGATAGAGGAAAGGAAGGGGTTAATATGGCCTGTCAATGTGTATTAGTATCAGACATAAATAATCCTGCCTTCAGAGGGCTTAGAATCTAAAAGGGCCAAGAAGACCCTAACAGCACTGCAGGGTCTGTGGGGTCTGTCAGATAGACTCAGTGGGCCCAGCAAATGGAAGCAAGAGAAACTTCCACCCTGAGAGAGCCTTGCAGGCTGACCCTGGGGACTGAGTGACTGATCACGCGCGAAGGCTTAGCTCTGGGTGTGGTGAGTGGCCTTCGAATCCAGGCCGACTGCAGCTTATTGCCTTAGGCCTGGTGGGTGTCTTTGATTTGGGCAGTTCTCCATCTGGGTTCTTTTAGATCCTCAAGGGAGGTGGGAAAGCATTCAGGAGGGTGGGATGAGGGAGGGAGAATATCCGGGGAGACCCTGGGGTTTGCCCCTCCCTGCCTAAGTGCCTGTCTGATATACATCATTTCTTGCAGATATATAGCTGGATTGACAACTTTGTAACTGAGTATTCAGATATTGTCTCAAAAATTCGGATTGGCCACAGCTTTGAAAATCGGTCCATTCTTGTCCTGAAGGTAAGAGCTGGTGGTGTTGACCACTAGACTCTACAGTGAGAGCCTCCGGCATAAGGTTGAACTCATGTGGGCTCATGGCTGGGTGGGAGTTGTAGGGACAGAGAAGATGTGTATCCTCCTGCCCCGAGGTGACCCACAGCTCTGGGGTTGTGGTGTTCAGGGCCCCACCCTTGTAGGTATGGGCGGGCGACAGTGCCATGACCCGGCATATCCTCGGTCAGGAAGTAGGTGGGAGGGTTGCAAAGGAGATGGAACTGCAGGGTGGCGGTTGTGTCACCCTGGTCTTGGGATGTGAATGTGGGGGAGCCGGCTTTCTCCCTATTCCCTTGGTTGCGTCATCTGTTAAATGGGAAGAGAGGTAAATAGAGGGCTCATTTCCAAATGACTGAGGTCGTCTGGCTCAGGCAGCCCCTCAGATAGGCCTGAGTCTGTGGGGACCTCCCAGCCCTTCCCAGGGGCCACTGGAAACAGAGTTTGAGCAAAGTTGGCAGCCACAATGCCCTTGGTCATGAGTGGAAGCAGGATAGGTAGGAGTGTGAAGCACCCCCCCCACCCGGAAAACAATTCCTAGCATGTGCCCTAAAGGGCGCTTGGGAGGTTGGACCCCACAGGGCCCCTGACACCCAGCTCTCAGAGCAGACAGGCACTGTTGCCCTCAACCCTGCCCCGGGAGACTCTTCCAAAGGGCCAAGTGTCCTCCTCTCTCCCTTGGGATGTGACCTCCTCTATCTCTGCCTTGATTTCCCCTGGTGGCTGGGCGTGTTCTCCCTTTAATGTTGTCTAAGACCTTGCTACACAAAGTGTGGTCCTGGCACCTGCAGCAGCATCCCCAGGAGCTTGTCAGAAATGCCCAACCCCAGACCCCTCCCCACACCTACTGAGAGTCTGCATGGTAGTGAGATCCTGGGGGATTCATGTGCCCTTTAAAGTTTGAGAAGCACTAGTTGAAGGAAGCTCTGTGCTTCGGGCTGGATCACTCCACTCCCCACGTGCACAAGCCCCACTGCGCCCCAGGGCCCCCACACTTCGTGGACTCAGGCACAAGTACCTGCACATTCAGTCCCCCGCCTGGGCCCAGAGCGCCACCCCAGGTGGTGCGCAGACCTCTGGGGCCTGCTCCTGGGAAGCCTAGGGACAGCCCGGCAGCTGTCTCAGTTCAAACTTGTTTGGGACCTTGTGCTTTTACCCAGTTCAGCACTGGAGGTTCTCAGCGCCGGGCCATCTGGATCGACACTGGAATCCACTCCCGGGAGTGGATCACCCACGCCACTGGCATCTGGACTGCCAAGAAGGTCAGCGCAGACGTTGGGGGTGGGGCAGGGGTGGGGACTGTTTGACTATTTCGGGGTGTCTCCAGTTGAAAATTTATACTGGGTTTGTTTAAACGCAGAGGCTCTCTCCCCTCCTGTCCTTTGGAACAGTTGCCGTGTGCTCTGCCCTTCTTAGCACAGTGCCCACACCCAGCCTCTGCCTCCTGGTTGTTTAAAATCCAAGCCTTTCATTCTGCACAAAGAATGTATCTGATGGCTTGATGCCACCCCTGCCTGCAGCCACTGGCTGTGCAAATGCCCTGACCCACCTTAGAGCAGAGCCCGGCAGCGCCTCCCATCCCTTCCAACCCTCCCCCATCCCCACTCTGCCCTCGCTTGCAGATTGTCAGTGAATATGGCAAAGACAGCACCCTGACAAACATACTGAATGCCATGGACATCTTCATGGAGATTGTCACCAACCCTGATGGGTTTGCATTTACCCACAGCATGGTGAGGGCATTTGGGAGGGAGGGAGAGGGGCAAGGGTCAGGGTCAGCTCTGGGGGGGGGGGATGCAGAAAAGGTTGCCATGGCTTTGGGAAGCTGAGCTGAGGTTCCCTGGGGGCTGGCCAGTGACTCGGGTCAGCTATGGCTCTTGCCCTTCCACCCCTGTCCTGCTGCCCCGGAAGGCCACTGCTGGCAGCCTGCACCTGTCCTCGGGCCTCTTCCCACATCCTGGCTTTAGTCTGATCTGCCGTCCTGGCCCATCCTCATGCCAGCCGCAGCCTGCCCTAGAGATTCCTTCCTTTTGCCGCTCTCTGTCCTGCCAGACCCGCCTTCTTAGGTCAGGATGTCAGAGGCTCCCACCCCTGGGGAAGGGGTGAATGTCACCTGCATGGGCTTTTTCAGAACCGCCTGTGGAGGAAGAACAAGTCCACCAGACCTGGAGTCTTCTGCATTGGTGTGGATCTTAACAGGAACTGGAAGTCAGGCTTTGGAGGTATGGCAGTCTGCTGGACCTGGGGGCAGGGCTGGAGGAGGACTTGGTCCTTGGCACGTCTCCCACACGGTCAGGTTATGTGGACGCATACCTTGGGAGATGGGGTAGTTAGCTAATGCAAGTGAGTCATGGACGGGGACAGACAAACACATGCCTAGGATTGGCCGTGCGATATGGGGAGAGGTTGCACATGCGTGGTCAACATATGCATATGTGCAGGCTCCATGGGAAACACGGGAAACAGCTCCTTGCAGGGGGAACCAACTGCAAGGGTCAAATTCTAAATATGGTAGGGGAAGGTACAAGATAGTCTTCAGGTTGTACCTTTAAGAGATACAAGATGGTCTTGCTGGTTGCTCAAAACTCAGTTTTTATGCCCTCCCCTGCAAATCCCTCTAGCCCCTCCTTGTAGGGAGCCCACCAAAAGAAAATGCCTCCAAACTCATTTCCTGAGAGCCAGGACCTGAAATTTGCCCTTTCAGGAGGCCAGAACAATAGTTTTAATATAGAATAAGCCAATTTCTTATCAACTCTGACTTGAGCCTGGTTTTTATTTTTTGACTTAGTTGCTTTGTAATCCTGGGCTGATGGCCTGGTGCATGTCTGCAGGGTCATATTGTTCTAGGCAGAGGTGGGCAGCTTCCTCCCAAGTTCCTTGGTGTTATTCCTGATTATCTCCCTTACCATACCAGGAGAATAGGGACTAGATGGGGAAACTGAGGCCTCCAGAAAACCTAGAGACCATTATGTGGATCCTGGGAATGCAGCAATTGGATGGGTGGCATGCTAGGTCTAGCCAGGACAGGTTGCATGGGCCCAGCCTTCAGGCTCCAGATGTGGCACCCACTACACTGGGGTGGGGTGGGGGGTCGGAGTTTGGCTCCAAGGAGACAGTGCCATTGCTGTTGAAAAGCAGATCCACAGATGGGAGGCCAAACCAATGAGATAGAACATTCTAGATCTTCCCATCCCTTTGAAAATCTGGCTTCTTTCAGTTGGTTCTCATTGAAAAATCAGCATCTGAAGCATCCAGACCAGTCTCAGGCAGCTATAGGGCTCTATTCTCTCTTTTCCTGGCCTCTCAGCCCGTGGTGTTGTGGGTGGGGGTTGTCTGAGAATCCGGTGCTGTGTGTGTAGCTGCTTGTGTAAGGGAACACAACCGTGTAAAAATGGGTGTTTTCACCTCCAAATGACCAGACACTTGCCCCGAGTGGGCATCCATGTGGGCCCCTCGGAACTGGCTGAAGCGGTGCCCACGGACCCCAAGATAAACTGGCTAGCAGAAAGACAAATCATCTCTTAAGGAAAATAACTTTTTTGTGTGTTTCTCCATAGGGGGCAGGAGAGGGGGGAAAATCAGTAATATACACAATATAAAAAAAAAATATGGGAAAAAAAAAGCCCAGGGGGGACAAAAAACTCCCATAATCCCACTACCCAAAGATTACTGCTTTTAATAATTTACCACGTCCTTCCAGAGATTTCCCCTTGCTACAAATTACATTTTCAGAGAAGGAAAAATAAATAGCTAATGAATCCATTAGCAGGTACTTGTGACACAGGCAGGCTCAGAGGACTTGGACTGTGAACGTCAGAGAGAGGCAGGCAGCTAATTCCCATTTGGTCCGGGGAAGATTAGTTTATGCTGCTTAGCTCAAACCAGAACTAATGGCCTGAAGTGTTTCTCCATATTTGGGCAAAGCCACCTGGTCGTTGGCAGGGGAACCGCTTTCCCCGCGTGGGCTGCAAACGCAGACAAAGCTCTCAGCCTCCCCCGCTCTGCTCATCTGTTGCTGTTTGTCATTCATCAAGTGGAGCAGGTGCAGAAGCTCCCGGCAGACACAACAAACAGGGCCGCTGTCCAGCCTGTGGGGCTGCTCCTCACCCTCGCTTCCTGCAGACACATCCCCTTCTAGCCTGGGTCCCCACCCCAGGTGGGACCCCGCAGACCAAGGGGGGACGCACTCCCCGGTGACAGAACCGCCTCTGGGCCTGCCTGCGGACAGAAATAGTGTGTGCCTGGGTTGGTGACTCAGGCGGGAAGATTTTGTTTATGGTTTTATCATTGCCTTAATTTGATTGCTGCATAATGAGTCATCTGTAGACCATCCCTCCCACTCATGCCGCCCTCACCTGCACTCCCCGGGGAGCAGTGGTTTGCTCCAAGCCTAGCGCAGCATCTCAGCTGGTCCCTGGGCCAGCCCACAGCCCAGCCCTCCATGACAGGGCCCTTGGGGAAGGGAAGAAGACCCAAGAAGAGGCTAAGAGGAAGGAAAGAGATGGAGAGCAAAGAATCTAGGAGATGGGAACCAACTAAATTTGTGAACAAAACAGAAGTTCAGCTCCTCTCCCCTAACTGAGGTCCCCAAGAAGAATTGCCAAAGGCTCTTTACATCTGTGGCTCCCAGACCAGTCTCAGGCAGCTATGGGGCTCTATTCTCTCTTTTCCTGGCCCCAAGTCCATGTTGCTCCTGGGGCCACGGTTGTGGCAAAGCTTGAGCAGATACTCAGTCTGAGCGCTCAACCGCCCCAAGCCTTCGGCCTGGCAGTGGACAGTCGGCAGAGAAGGGTCAGCTCGAAGGGGTCGCCGCTCGTCGGGGAAGCCAGGGTTGGAGACCTAGAGTTTCCTCTGAAGGCAGCCCTGCTTTTCTAAGTCCTTGGTCAGGACTTAAGCAAAGGGCAAGCCAAAGGAGCTCTCTAGAAGGCCCACAGAGTTGCTGAGTCATGGTGTGAATGCACTCCTCTGATGTATTAGACTAGGGTGTGCAGCAGTGATAAATGCCATCCAAATCTCAGTGGCTGAACACGGTAAAAGTTTATTTTTCAGGCACACGAAGTCCAACGTGGGTAGGTGACTCTCCTTGGCAGCTTTCTTCCGACTGTGACAGAGGGATCCAGGATGCTTCCTCCATCTAGAGTTTTTTGCTCCCAACCACATAGACAGAAGAGACTGTGGAGAAGTCATGCCTGCTCTTAACAGCCTCAAACTAGAAGTGACCCATCATTACTGCTCACATTCTCATTGGTCAGAAGTAGTCACATGACCTCAAACAAACTGCAGAGGAGGCTGGGAGATGTAGAGGAATACCTGGATGTTTTGTGAACATTGTCTTTCCCAAACCTGGGAATTCGAACCCTCTGGATGGTTTTATTTTTCTTCCAGGAAATGGTTCTAATGACAACCCCTGCTCAGAGACTTATCGTGGGCCCTCCCCTCAGTCGGAGCCTGAGGTGGCGGCCATTGTGGACTTCATCACTGCCCATGGGAACATCAAGGCTCTGATCTCCATTCACAGCTACTCTCAGATGATCATGTACCCTTATGGCCACTCACTGGAGCCGGTTCCAAACCAGAAGGAGTTGGTGAGATTGGCTGCCTGGGGCTTGGGGGAGGCATCAGGCAGACCGCCAGAGGTTCAGGCCCTCACTCTGAAACAAGGGTCTGGACCAGTTGACCCCATGTTAGGGAGGAGGGGGAGAGCTTGTTGTTCTCACATGTGGTCAAGTTCAAAGCCAGAGGGGCTGTGCTCCCTTCTCATGAGAGCCATCTGCACATTCAACTTCCGGGTTTCTCAGCGGCTGGTGAGGGTGTGGGAGCGTGGGGAGCCCCAGCCTCTCACCCTCTGGATGCAATCTCGCAGTACAATCTTGCCAAGGACGCAGTGCAGGCCCTGTATGAGGTCCACGGGATCGAGTACATTTATGGCAGCATCAGCACCACCCTCTGTGAGTGAGCCTTCCCCTGGGTGCTGCTCTAGGCCCCACATCCACCTGGGGTTGGGCAGGTGCAGGCTGTTTGCTGACTGGCAGGGCTGGTTGGCCACAGGGCAGTGCCGTAGATCTAACTGAGCGGGGTCAGAGCTGCTGTCCACATCTGAATAGAGGGGTGAGTGGTGGTCCCCAGAAACAGGCAACTCTTTCTTTGCAGCATTAATTAATGCCTGGTTCCCAATGTCTGGCTTACTGTGATGTTCCTTGAAGGAGAAGATCCTTCTTGAAGGAAAGCTCCTTGGTGGCCTCAGGGAGCTTTCTTTTTGCTGGGGCAGAGAATGGGGAGGGGGGACAGAGTGTGGCCCAGGTTGACGCTGGGGTCAGAAGGTGTGGTGTTGTCTGGGGTGAGTTGGGGTTTGGCCCCCAGGGCCCACTTTCCACTCAGGATACTTCTGCACCTTAGGACCACACCCTGTTCTTTCTTCTGGGGGCATTTCTTTGCCCTTTTATACCCAGATGTGGCCAGCGGGATCACTGTCGACTGGGCCTATGACAGTGGCATCAAGTACTCCTTCACCTTCGAGCTCCGGGACACGGGGAGCTATGGCTTCCTGCTGCCGGCCTCCCAGATCGTCCCCACGGCCCAGGAGACGTGGCTGGCGCTTCGCGCCATCATGGAGCACACCCTGAATCACCCCTACTAGCAACACCACTCAGGGCAGAGCAGGAGCATTCATTCCCTTCCCCAAGGCCTGGGGCTCCTCCTGAAACCCAAGTGATACATGGTCCTCCCCACACCCTTACCCTGACCCCTTAGGAAATAAATAACAAGTTTGAACAGGCTTGGTGGCCTCTGGTGCTTTGGGCTCAGCACTGAGGGGACCGGGGCGGCTTGAAATGCCTCTTCACTCCTCAGGAATTCAGGAGGATCAGGGGGCTAGCAGCCCTTAGATTTCGTCCTCTTGCAGCGTTCTCCAGGCCCAGAGCCGATAACTCACTCTCTGGGAGCTACTGGATACACACTGTCCCCTTGGTGTTTACATTCTGAGATGATCCGGAAGGCCCAGTGTTTGATCAAAAGGAGTGGGGCTCCAGTGGTGGCATCTCCGGCAGCCCGAGGGAGAGGTGGGTACGGACAGGCACATTCCTTCTCTGCCTGCTTCCTTTCCATGCTGTGTAGCAGGGGAGGGCCACATCTCGGAGGCCCCGGCTTGGAGGACCCCGTTCGCCCCCTAAAGGAAGGTGAACACCCTCACAGTCTCCCCTGGTCCGGGGAGCAGGGTCGCAAGCCAGTCAGAGCCAGCACAGCAAAGCACCACCCACCCAGGGAGAGGAAATCCTCCTTCCCCCTTCTCTCCACCCACGGTCACCACGCTGGTCGGGCACCGAGCAGTGAGTCGAGGCCAGGCATTTGCTAAGCAAGCACTTTATTTAAGGGAGAGAAAGGGACGATATTTTGAGATACAAATGAGGTGCCCCCACCCCATCCTGAGGCTTCCTTACAGCTTTTGCCTTCCTCCACCGCTGGGGAGCAGGGGTCGTGGGTCTCTCTGTCCTGCCCCCAGGGGAAGGCAGGTCCTCTGAAGAAGCAAGCGGGCCACTGAAGAGCTGAAAGGGTCTGTGTAATTCTGAGGCAGAAAATAAGACTTTCATTGGCAAGGGCCAGACTTTTGTTGTTTTGGTCACAAAAGAAAAGGATTGTGGGACCCGTGATTTGGCCCCTGCAGGACACAGAGCACAGGGTTTTACTCTAAATCACGGAGATGGAAGAAAGCAGGGGGAAAGGAGAACGAGTCCCCCTTTCTACGTGCCCTGTAAAAGAAGACAGGGGTTGACTCAGTGGGAGGCGGGGATCAGCGGGGATCAAATCTCTAGGTAAGGCCCATGTCCAACATGGCAACTGAGCAGCAGATGAACAAGGGCTGAGCAAGGGGTCTAGAAAGGTCATTAAAATGTATCCATGGGTATACCCGTATGGCTGGGTACACCTGAGGAGTGCAGCTACTGGGAGCTCTGAAAAAAGAAATAGTGAGGAGGCCTGGCGTAGAGGCAAGAAGGCTAAGCCCAGGGGCCACGGAGGCACCGGGGCCAGGGGATGCCTGTGCCCAGGAGCAGCTGTGCCAGGAGGAGGCCTGAGGAAGTCAGGGTAAAGAACACCTGAAGAACCCAGATCATCTCCAGGGGAAGAGCCCAACAACGGGGGAGGAGAGCATCCCGATTCGGGCCGCGGTTCCTCAAGAGAGGCGGAATTTTTTTTTTTTTTTTTTTTACGCTGGAAGCGATTTGAGCGAGCTAGAATTTCCAAGCTAACGTCTTCTGCTATTAGTGGAAATATGAGACCATGGGCTGAATTAGTATAAGCTATAGACAAATAAAGCAAGTTATACCTTTGCACACTGGAGTCTGTGATTATAACTTTTGTACCCTCTGCGCAAATATTTTCATTTCATCCTCTTGGGGCGGATACTACCATTATTAATAAGCTTGTATTTCAGATGAGGAAAGCACGATCATGATTCGGAGAGGTTTTAAAGGCCACATGAGGCCACATGGATGGGAAGTGGTTGAGGGAGATTTGAACTTGGGTGTGTCTAACTCCCAAAACCACTATGTCGCCATTTGTCCAAGCGTGATGTGTGACCACACCTGTAGCGGAGTCCACGGGGAGTCGTTTAATGTGAAGGTAGTTCCATTCCCAGACTGAAACAGAATCTCTGGGGTGTACCCCCCGAATCTGTATTTTTACCCTCTGCCCCAGGAGTTGTGAGGTCCCTTAAAGGCTGAGAACCACCTGCTCTCCTGCCTCCCAGAAGAACACACTTGAGGCTTCCTGGGGAAGTTGGGGCTCAGCATCTCCACCCTCTGCCATTATCCATTAGGGCTGAATGTGGTTACAACAGCGGGAGGCTGGTCATCCTTCTCCAAGATGTTCCTAAGGGGCTGCCTTGGCCCTCACCTAAAGCAGTGTGGTCTGGAGACCACCGGCATCAATACAAAGTCTGGAAATACAAATTCCCAGGCCACCCCAGACCTACTGAACCCAAATCTCTGGGGATGGGACCCAGGTGATGCTAATGCCACGCTGGAGAGGCGTTGCCCTAGAAGCAGGAGTATCTGGACCCTGATGGGTTTCTCAGTAACAACAGTGAAAATAATAAGCTTTTCTAGCACCTAGCCAGGCATGGTTCCAGGTGCATTACAGGATTCAACACATTGCCTCCTCACGGGTCTAAGAAGTAGGACTCTTACTGTCTTGATTTTCAGATGAAGAAGCTCAGACTCAGCGTGGTAGCTAAGGGGCATCCAGCTAACTGAGTGGCAGTCATGCCCTGAGTCGTGCCCAGAGCCCCTTAGGACCAAGGGCCAGGAACTTGTTCTCATAGTCATGTTGGTAAGACCTGTGTACAGCCAATAGACTCATGAAAGTTGGAGCTGAAACTGCTTTACAGAAGGGGGTCTTCTTGAAAGGCAACTTCCTCTTTAAAATCCTTCAATGAATTAACCACCCCCCGCCCCACCCAAGATGCTACATGGCTAGCCCTGGGGACGTCTCCCACTTTGCCTGAACACCTTGCTCATTGGCCGCAACCTCACCAGCCTCCTCTCAGTTCCTTCCCAACTGGAAGCATTTGCACATGATGCTCCTTCTTTCTGGAACGTTCTCTCCTCCCCCTCTTGCTCCAAATGGCCCACTCCTTAAATTTTTCCCTTCAATATAAATTCCTCACCCCAGTCCTTCTAGAACCACCCATTAGAAGTGGATCTATTATCCTCTTTTCCAAGGCCTTATGTATTTCCGTGATTACAATGATAATTAATTGACTTCTTTGTTGATTTGTTTCTGCCACTAGTTTGGCTGCTCTGTGAGGGTAGGGACCATGTTTGGGCTCTTCAGCCTCACTCAGCTCCTGTCAGGTGCACAGCAGGTACTCAGTATTTGTGGAAAGAGTGTTTCTCCTCCTGGGCCTCATACAGATTAGTACTTAGGTTTAGTATCAGGTGACAGAAACCCACCTTACTGTGGCTTAATCAGATCGGGGTTTTATTTTTTTCATGGACTAAGTTGCCTGAGGTGGGCAGAGCAGCCCACCTGACTGAACGTGACTCCTTGAGGCACTGGGGGCCCAGGCCCCTCTGGCCTGGCCTGTTTTGCTACACCCCGTCATGTGACTGAATTCCAGGCAGGAAGGGCAGGGGTGAGCCCGCAGCTGGCTGGCCCATCCAGGGACTTCAGCTTACACTCTGTCGGCTGGGGTTGTGTCAGGTAGTCAAGCTCAGCTGCAACGGAAGCTGGAAAATCACCTTATAGTTGAGCACGTTGCTGCCCCAAATAAAATCAGAGTTTGGTTGGTAAGGAGAACGGGGAGAATGGGTATTGGAAAGACAGCCGGCTGTCTCCAGAAGCTTCTCTGAAGGGAGAGAAGATCTGAAGGGGTCTCTGAATCCGTTTCTTTGCTCTAGTTAAATTGGCTGACTTAACCATCAAGCCAGAGAACTTTCCAGGGTCCTTTAAAAGCTTCTGGTCCAACCCCCCTCCCCTTAAAGTTATAAAGACTGGGGATCTCTGGATCATTGAACTTCTGTGTGGCCCTACATGAACCTAACGGCTGAGAGAAGACTAAAGCCAGGGGTCTTCCTCCTCTGACTGAAGGGTCTCCTCAGCAAGCCCAGGAAGGTGCTGGCTGGAGGGGTTTAAGTGTATCAAGTAAAAGCTCAAGACTTAAACATGCAAGTCTTAGAGATACTACAGAAAACCTCTTTTTCGTAAAATCTGAACTTTTTTTTTTGTTTTTCATTTCTTAGGTATATAATGCTAAATAGGAGTTCAGTTTTTCTACATTCTGCTTGGTTTTTTTTTTTTTTTTTTCCTTTCCCCTTCCAACAAACTGCTCTTTTTAGGTATGTTTTTTCATCCTTTCACCAGTAAAATTTATGAGCATTTATTTAAAAGAAAAAAACATTGGAAAAACTGAAGAGAGAAAGAGTGATTATACATATGGAAAGCTATAAAGAGCCACAGTGAATGTGTTGCGGTTATTGCTTTCTTAAAAAAACAAACCAGGCCGGCAGTTTGGAACCTGAAAGAGTCCTGTGTGAGGGCAGGCGGGCGGCAGAGGCTGCGAGTGATGGGCGAGTGGCCGGGGGCCAGGGAGTCCAGTGAGTCCAGTGAGGAGGCGTTAGCTGCCTCCATCCCCACTCCCCGCCCTCCTCCATCTCCCCTCTGACTGCCCCAGACAGGCCCAGAGACAAAATGACTTTACCGAAAACACAAAATTAAATTTAAAAAAGCTTCTTCAGAAAAATAAGATGGCCCAGACAGCCCGTTACTACAGGCTGAGGGAATCCAGGGATCGCCGGCCTGCCAGGGCCTCCCACCCTGGTGAAGTCACACCACATCTCGAGTCTTGGGGGGCAGGGGGGCCAAGCCATGTTCTTCTGGGGACGGGGGTGTCCTGAAGGACACCTTTAACCTGTTCGGCCTTCCAGGGTTCTCCTTCCCCAAGTATTTGGGACCATCCTCGGGAATGATAGCAAATCCGTTCCTTGGGCTTGCCCCTCGTTCGCCTCTGGCCCCGGGATCTGCAGCTGGCCTCTTGCCATCTCCTAACCGGCTTCGCCAAGCTCCGTGGCTCCCCACCCACGCTCCTGCCCCTCCATCCACCTCCCTCAATTTCCCCAAAGCCTAGCTAAGACCGCACGGGAACATTTCACAAAACTGTCCTTGGGGATACAGGAGGGAAATACAATGTAGAAAGTAAAACACTTGGACCGGACGCGGGCTTTGGAGTCGGTTCGTGGCCCTTTGTGAGACAACCCCTCCCTACAGCCTTCACTCTCCTTGG